ACCTACATAAACTAAGCCAGTAACACATTCCTGTTTTAATACAAGACAGCAGCACCTACATAAACTAAGCCAGTAACACATTCCTGTTTTAATAGAAGACAGCAGCACCTACATAAACTAAGCCAGTAACACATTCCTGTTTTAATACAAGACAGCAGCACCTACATAAACTAAGCCAGTAACACATTCCTGTTTTAATAGAAGACAGCAGCACCTACATAAACTAAGCCAGTAACACATTCCTGTTTTAATACAAGACAGCAGCACCTACATAAACTAAGCCAGTAACACATTCCTGTTTTAATACAAGACAGCAGCACCTACATAAACTAAGCCAGTAACACATTCCTGTTTTAATAGAAGACAGCAGCACCTACATAAACTAAGCCAGTAACACATTCCTGTTTTAATAGAAGACAGCAGCACCTACATAAACTAAGCCAGTAACACATTCCTTGTATACAAATCTTTATCTTTTTTTTTCTTTTTTCTTTATGCTTTTTGTTTCTTTACTTTTTATGTAGTTATTTTTGTTTCACTAATACCTGATTTGTAACCCTTTTCATCCCCTCTGGGGGATGTTGTGTGTTAATAAATAAATAAATATCATATATAATGTCACTAAATATAAATGTATGTGTTTTTATAGTAGACACAGTGTTTTCCAAATACCACATGTATATTTGTCGGGACAGCCAATGGAATTTGTTGACCAATTTACATATCTTGGTCACAAACTTACTAGTGATTTGAAGGATAACACTGATAACTGTGTCTAAGAGGCAAGCTCTTTGCGTTCCTTTGGTTCAAATAGTGATATTACATATCTAAAAACGTTTATAAAGTTGGTTACCAATGCAAGAATTGGGGGCGACCTTCTTGTTAATTCGTGTGTTTTTGACCATTTTTTCGTAATGCTGAGGCTCTCTAAGAGTACGACGTTTTTACCACTTTAATTCCACGCCATAATAACTTTCCTATAGAAATATGACATGATCCTCTAACTATTTTTAATGAAAATAATAAATTATTCAATTAAAAACTTACCTCCCAGTTCGAGAATGTCCCGGATCATCCGCCATTTTTATGTATGTAAACATGGGAACGTAAAGGTCAGTAAAGGTCAACAACACGTAGGTCAAAGGTCAATATAAAATGGCGGATCTGTTAAAAGGATGTGTGATGTGAAGATGAGTACGAACACTTTCACAGACGAGTGTTAATTTATGCGGATAATATCTAACTATTTGTGTTTGTATGAATCACAAATTTTAATCCGAGCTCCAACGCTCTAAATATCTACTTAAATTTATGAATAACGTTCCTATTGACACTTCACAAGTTTCGGGGAATAACAATGGGTAAGATATCCAAAGTGGTGGTGTGTGGTAGTCCATCTGTTGGAAAGACTGCTATACTTGAACAAGCTATTTATGGAAGTCATATAGCGGGCCAGGTAAGAGTCAGTTCAGCACTGTTATTGGCCATGATCGTTAGTTACAATCTGCGATCATGTCTTTTACCTCTATGTTGCGAAGAACCATGTTTTGGTTGTTATGACTACAGTTATACTACACAGTTGCTGATTGAAAACGTAATTATAGCGTTATAAGATGGATGAAAATTACCTTTTTAAAAAACGTTATAATAACCAAAAAAATTAGTCCAACTTTATAATATTACTAAATGACGCATTTACAATGTAAATAATTATGTTATAATGACGTTTGCAAAAAAACAGCATGTTTTGCAGTATCATACTAATAACGTTTTCTTATAAACGTTATTATATCGTAATTTTATAACGTTATAATACTGTTATTTTTAAATGTCACATATGTATCTTCCCTGGGTACGTCATAGTGACGCTTGCCAAAAAACGCTTGAATTGCAGTTTTAAATGTCATAACTTTAGTACTATTTTAAAGAAAAAACATTATCATAATGGCATTTTATAACACAAAAATACAGTTCTTTTCATGTGATTTATTTACGTAAACTGTCATAATGCCATAATTGCGTGTTTCAGTGATGCATAAAACATGTTATTAAAAGTTATTAAAAACTGATATAGTAATATACATACTTTATTTAACAATACTCAGTACTGAGCTTATGGACCATACCATTTTTTGGATAGAGGTGCAATGATAAAAACAGTATTGATCCGCAATTAAATTACGCCATAATAATGTTTTCATTAGAAAAATGGGCTAATCTGCACTGGCTCGGAAGGTTGTAAATGATTAGCTAGTTTGAATTTCTAATTTGCATAACATTACTGAGAATGAACGTGCATTCAACGCCACAAGTTTTTTGTTTTTTTAGCCAATCAGAATTCATCTTCCGAGCCAGTGCAGATCAGCAGGGAAAAATAATAATATTATTTCACAATTACATCTTTAAAATATTACATGTATGTATGATTAACTTAACTCAGTGTTCTTAAAAATTATGTGTCTACACAACTAAGTAAACAGTGAATAGCAGCTAATAAATGACGTTATAATAATGTTTTAGAAATTCACTACGTTCAATTACCCACCATAGACTCCGGTCAGTCAAAATGACTATTTTGAACTGTAGGCATTAATCAGCGATTCTGCCGGTGACGGAGAGATGGAATCTAGGTCAGGGGAAGCCCCATGACCCCAAGATTCTTTTACCCCTTACGTCACGAACCCACGTGACCGAGACCACATGGCAGCACCATAGGCGGCCATACAATCACTCTTTCTTTCATCTCCTCTTCGTCGGGAATGATTCTGAGCGGCTCTGCCTGGCTAAGTTATTAGGATAACTTATTCTTGTCTTTTTACCCTCGTGTCATTTTAACCTTTGTGTGTTATGCTTTTCCACAACAAAGAAATTAAAACCGGGCGCCACTACGTAACCACATGTTGGTTTCATGGCGGCACTTTTTACAACTGTAATTCGTTTCCCTCATGCATGTTGTCTTTTATTTATAATGTATTTAGAAATGGATAGATGCACTGGCAACGCCAGAGGCTCGCCGCCGGTATTATTTCCTCAGTTTTTGAGGCGAATCTGCAATCAGTGTACACAGAACTTGCAGGAATGGAACCCGCATGCTAAATGCTACCGTTGTATCATGTGCGTTCAGGGTTCGGGTGTCTGCCCACACGTGCGTTCGGGGTTCGGGTGTCTGCCCAGAGAATATTTGCAATCACTGGGGTTCTGAAGCCTGGGATTCTTTCCAGCAGTATGTAAAAATAGCCAAGACTGACCACGTCGCTCGCTTGCGAAAAGGTCGCACGACAAGTGCTACCGGCATGGGTATGAGTGAGTTGTGCGTTGGCATGAGTGATAAGTCCTCGTGCTCGGCTACCGGTTCTCATACCGGGATACCAAGCAAAGGGCCCGATAGTGGGGGTGCCGATGGATTTTGGTCTCCCCCCGCTGATCGGAGGGCATCTGCACAGTCTGTTTTTTTCAGGCAGTGGGTTACCCAACTTTACCGGCAACAACTATGGGGCCCGCGCTGGGTCCCGTTGTGGATCCATCCTCGCACGGCACCGGTTTTGCCACTGAAATGAGGGCATTGGTCGAAGGACTGTCGGGGCAAATTGCATCCCTGGCAGGCAGAGTAGACCACCTGTAGGCGGAGCGAGCTGTCTCCAATGCGGCCTCTCAGCCGGCAAGTAGGAAGAAACACAGAAAGCAGGGTCAGGACATACATTGTAACAACAACAACAACCCTCCCTTCAACCAGCCAGGGTTCACCCCTCGGTACCGGACTGATTAATTTACCTTCAAGTCCGAGCTCCGCTGTGGGTTTCAACTCCCTTCTCGCCGATCCACAGGCGTTCCCAGGAACCGACCCTGTTATGAGACGCACTCTTGAACATGCTCTCGCTCACATATTTATGCTGAGAGGTGGCAGTTCATTCGCGTCGGATACAGTGGGTACCTCGGGCGGTCCATCAGAGTCCACATTATGTAATGACTCGGTGAGCCACGCCATTGGGGTGATGCGGAATATTATCAGTCCAGGTGACACTATGTATATGGGGGAACCCTCGATCCTAAAGCAGCCACTTACGGTCGCTTCTACGCTGATGGGATCGCAGGCACCGGGATCCAGATCGACCCTATCCGCACGTCTCCCCTGGTCCAGCTGAGTGCTGAGCGTGGCAGACGGCGCGCAGACGGTGTTGAGGGGCGGTCGTTGGTCAGCCATGGAGGAGGTAACGCCAAAAGCCCCAGGTTGGGGTAATCTTTTGCATAACCCATTTCGCTGGACCAAACGCTACCCCATCAGGGCAATCTCGGATTCCAACCCTAATTCGTGGGACGAAACCAGAAGACCCCGACCGGACCCCAAGGCTCCTTCCCCAGACCCCGGTACTAGAAACTACTGTTTTGCTAACCGGGTGAAGGGGGATGGCCGCGTTCTCATCGACCCATTCTGAGATTATCCAACATGCCCTGAGGGCAGAGTCGCGACCCATCAATTTCCTAGAATTTGTGGGCGCCACACTGGAGCGCATACTTGTGTGTGCCCAGGACTCTGAGACCTGAGACTCAGAACGCAGTCGCCTCTTAGACCAGGCGACACAGTTAATGGTAGGCCATCGCACGGCTATGTGCGATATCCTCCAGTGTCATATGGCTCTCGCGGTTTTAGATGCGTGTGTTTTCGCCTGCGAACTGGGTCAAGGGGTATGCCACCGCCTCAGTTACGCAGACTGGACATCGCCCATCCTCTTTGATGGGGAGATAGCGGGTGCAGTTGCAGAGCTTCAGGGTATAACAAACCAAATGGTCCAAGTCGAATCTGTTAGCCAGTTGGCCGCTGCCAAGGGTAAACGGAGGGTGCCCCAAGCACAGAAAGCACAACGCCCTAGGACTAGCTCTGCTAACCAGAGTCAGCCAGCAGGCAAGCGCTCATACTCTTATGCAGGAGGGAAGAGTAGCGACGCGCCCCCGGGAAAGAGAGGACCAGGTGGTGGCTCCTCCTCCTCGAGTGGTCGTCAATCCCGGCAGCAAGGGAAGCATGTCTGACGCTTACCTCTGTGATGGGGGGTGGGGGGTGGGCTTGCGTTTGGCATGAGATCAGGCTACAGCTTAGTAACCCCAGTGATCTCCGTTCAGGCTTGGAGACAGCGGGTAACCGATCCCTGGATGCTCCAGGTGGTCACACTTGGTTACAGAATACCACTGACATCTCCACCGCCCCTGTCAGTATCACTCCAGGGGATCCCAGCAAGGCGGAAGCAATCAGACAGGAAGTAGACAGTTTGCTAAGAAAGGGCGCCATACACAGAATAGTAGGCTTCTACTCTAATGTATTCGTAGTACCAAAATCTACAGGCGGCTGACGTCCGGTTCTGGACCTAAGCAGACTAAATCAGTATGTGCTTCTCGATCAGTTCCGCATGGAGACACCATCTAGTGTTCTACTCTCCATCCACCGGCTCGACTGGCTAGCCTCTTTAGAGTTATGTGACGCTTACCTGCACATACCGATGCACCCAGCGAGTTGTCCTCTCCTTCGATTCGCCCACATGGGCCAAGTATTCAAATTTTGGGTGCTCCCCTTTGGGTTATCCACAGCGCCTTACGTGTTCACCAGAGTGATGAAACATGTAGTACTGCTGCTCCACCAAATGTCGGTACACATCAATCCGTACCTAGACGACTGGTTGCTACACAACCCAGACAAGGGGTTATTAGGCAGACATGTAAGGCTTACACATGATTTACTTCACTAGTTGGGTTTTCTAGTAAATCACAAAAAGTCCCATCCTGACCTGACTCAACAGTTGGTGTTTCTGGGCATGGAGTTCGACACCGAAGTAGGCCTGGTTCGCCCATCTCAAGGGCGTTGCCTAGCGCTAAGCAATCTAGCAGAACGCCTAGTCAGCGTTCCTTCAGTGTCCCTCCAAGAACTAATGCGGCTCATCGGAATGATGACCTCTGTTATAAGGGTAGTTCCCCAGGCCACACTACGCAGCCGCCCGGTCCAAGGCTTGTTATTGGAACACCGAGCTCACCTATGGGAACTAAACAGGCGAGTATTGATCCCGGACAAAGTAAAGGAAACCCTGTCCTGGTGGTCGTCACTGACCAACCTCAGACAAGGGGTCCCCTTGGACCCACTCGTCACAGCTATGACTCTGGTAACAGACGCCTCCCTCCAAGGGTGGGGAGCGCATCTATTGGACAAACAAGTCCAAGGAATATGGCCCCTGCAGTGGGTTTGGGACCACCATATCAACTGGCTCGAGCTGAAAGCAGTGCACCTAGCACTTTCACGCTTTCGACCCGAAGTTCAAGACCACAGAGTCCTGCTCCGCACAGACAGCACAGCGGTGGTCTCCGACATCAACAAGGAGAGGGGACACGTTCCTCATCGTTGTCATTCCTAGCAGAGCAAATTCTCCTTTGGTGCCTGGAATGTGGAGCTAACCGCACACCACCTTCCAGGGGTGA